TAATCAGCGGAGATAAAGAAAAGAAGACGAGTTTAATTATAAGGAACTTAATTATACAAGTTTTTGAATTCTATAGCTCGTCTTGAAGTTTCAGGTGTAAAGAATACTATCTTAAGAGTCTAGTCAAAGAATTTTTATAAAAAATATAATTTCCATTAAAACTAAAATAATTAGCTTGAAGCTATATTAGAAACCAATAGAAACTATACCTCGCTGATCGATTATATACTAATTTAGTAGGATGTCTTCAATTGCTATTTAACCCAAATTTATAATGGAAAGAAAGAAAAAGATGTATACATAGTGTCTTTTATAAATGGCGCAGTATAACTGATACAAAGAACATTTTAAGTACATATTTGTAAATAAATGACAGAATTGATACTTTTATAAATAATTACTGTAAACATAATTCAATTATTTAACAAATTTTAAATAATATTTTCAAACATAAAACAAAATTACTTCATCACTAAACGTGTGCTGAAAGGAAAACATAGATGATAGAGAGTCTGGAAAGATATATAATATTCCAACATTTTAATTGTTTTGACGAGTTACATTTTACGATACATTTGTGATCATTATATTTTCCCTTAAACGTAAAAAAGAGAGGATCTTCAATTAATAAAAAAGGACCCACTTCACTGCAGTTTTGCTCAGTCTTTACTTAGGCAAACTCCCATTTATATCAATGAGAATTATTAGAATTACAGGATTGGGCTCACAGCATTCTGTAGCAGCTAAAATAAAAGTACACTGATGAGTTACAACTTCAGGGGATTCTTTTTACAAAAAAAAAGTATTTAATGATCTCAAAATTTAAACCCCCCAAATAAACCTTGATAAGGTCATTATATAATCGTACACTGTGATGCTTATAAAATGAAGATACAAAGAGATGCAGTTTGACTATCTTTACACTTACTGACAATAAAACATGGAAACATATGGAAGCCATCGGTTTTAATGCGTAACAATTTCGGTACATTGCAGTATATACATGCTTAAT